GAAAAAGAGAAAAAGAGAAAAAGAGAAAAAGAGAAAAAGAGAAAAAGAGAAAAAGAGAAAAAGAGAAAAAGAGAAAAAGAGAAAAAGAGAAAAAGAGAAAAGGTCAAAGAAGAAGATTCATACTTTTGCTTTTCTGTTTGTGACAGATTCCTTTTATAAGACCAATTTACTACCCTTCCCACCACCACCACTCAAAAAAAGAAAAAAAAAAGTTACTCTGTTATGTTAAAGTTATTTATATGCATTCTGAAAGAGCTACTGAGAGCATACGTGGTAGGAATTTGTCATTCACATTTCAATGCCATTTACACTTTAGAAATCTAAAATGATGACACCTACATTCTCAGTTAAGGAACAGTTTGTGCAAGTTGTATAGTTGAGCTAAAATAGCGTATAACCTCTCGTAAGTAGCAGCCCTACTTTTCTCTAACGAAAAAGGGACACAAAACAATAACTGGTCTCCAGCACGTCTCTGAAGGTTCTTATTTATCCAGGTCATGGTATAGCTGGTAGTCATTAACTGGACTTGATCTGTAACTTTAAAGACGTTCCATCCAAGTAGCTTATTCAGATTGAATTGGTGTTAGGAACATAGCCTGGCATTTATAGCCACACCGGCAACTGTCACCTTAATCCAATCACCATAGAATCGGCAGGGCCGGATTTACTCTCTCTGCCGCCCCAAGGCCAGGTTCCTCAATGCACCCCCCTACCCGCCAACCCCCACCCCATGGAGAATGGCTGACCTGCAGGCTGCATACATCGCCAAGGTCACTTGTACAAAACACATCAGTGGCTTTCCCGCTGTACATTTAGCTTTGCTTGCCCAAAGCAGGGATAAATGTAGAAACAACTATCCGCCCGGCACCTACAACTGCACGTCCCGGGCGGATAGTTGTTGGAGGCTCATGTCAGAGCCTCCAGCAAGGAGAACAGTGAGCAGCACAGTAGTGACATCACCCAATCTCCAGGGCCGGATTTGCCACAAGGCCACCGAGACCCAGCCTCGGGGCAGCAGGGAGCAGAGGGACGGCTGCGATGTGGAATCTCCTGATGCCCGGGACATGCAGTTCCAGGGAGTAAGTTGTTTTCTACATTTAGCCCTGCTTTGGGCAAGCAGGGCTAAAATTGTAGAGCAGGGAAGCCACTCGTTTGTTTACACGTGATCGCGGCGATTTAACTCCTGTGTGATAGCAATAAAGTTAAGGAAAAAATAAATAGATAAAAATAAGAATAAATAATAATTAAATGAAAAAAAAAAAAATTAAAAAGGTGATTAACCACCTGCTGTCCAGCCATTTTAAACACTAAACTAATGAGCAGTAAAAGCTTTTAAAGCGTCGCCTATGGCCAATTTTGGGTACGGTAGTTTTTGCGAGTTCGCGGGTGCACGCAATTTTAAAGCTTGACATGTTTGGTGTCTATTTACCCGACGTGACCCCGTCTTTTATATTTTACCCAAAAAAATTGGGTAATAATAAATGTTTTATTACATAACGTAGGGAAACGTTTTTTGGTTTAAATACCACCAAAAGAAAGCTCCATCTGTCCCCCAAAAAATGGTATAAAATTCATTTCAGTAAAGCGTTGCATGACGGAATAAATGTCAGTCAAAGTACCGCAGTGCTGAATACTGAAAAATGGCCTGGCCAGGAAGGGGGTATAAACACCCCGGTCAGCAAGTGATTAAAAAGTAAAAAAAATAAAATAATAATAATAATAATAATAACAATAAGATTTAAAAAAAAATGTAAAAAGTAAAAGTTGAGAAGATAAATATTGGCCTTGGTGCAGCAGGAAGAGTAAATCCGGCCCTGCCAATCTCGTAACTCTAGCAGTCAGAGACAGCAGTACCTTAGATCTCACACTGCAGTTATACAGTTATGAAACTGAATGAACAGGAGTGCCTAGGCACAGGAAGTGCACTGCTATCTTTCAGGAGGAATTAAAGACAAAATATTTTTTTTATTTATTGTTCAGGCAAAATAAACATTACTAGTTGTTCTCCTAAACTTTACAAGTTGAGGCCCACGTTAAATGCATCTCTGCAGCATAAGCCATTGGATACTTCATACTCACAGCAGGTAAATTTTATTATGTGGAATCACTGGATTGAAAGTCTGCTTCATGCTGGAAAATAATCTTATATAATCTGGAGGTGAACAGGTAGCCATAGCTCTTAGAAAGAAGTAAACAACACACTGCTACACCGTCTTCCTTTTCACCATTCAATCTTCTCTTAGGCTGGGTTCGCACCTGGGTGTTTTTCAGCGCTGATCGAAGCGCTGAAAAAGGCTCAAGATGTGAAATCCTATTAATTGCTATGGGCATGGTTCCCACCTGGGCGTGTTTCAGCCCGTTTTGTCGTGCTCAAAAACGCCCTACGCGCGAAAAAGTACTTGAGCTTCTTTTTCGCGCGATGGGGCAGATTTCAGCGCATATCCATTGGTATTCCCAAGTGTGGCCCGGGGTTAATTTTCTGTACCAAAGCGGTAACCCCGAGCCCCACTCGGGAATACAGCGTAGGTCTTACCTTGTCCGCGATCCCCGCTGTGTCCTCCGGCCACTGCCGGCATCCAGGTTCCGTCCCTTGCGAGCGTCCGCGTCGCAGGAGGGGCAGAACCGGCGGGAAGTTTGAAAGTAAAAAAAAAAACAGAGAAAAAAAAAGGATTTTTTATTTTTATTTTGAAATCATACCGCCAGGGAGGTTAAAAAACGAGCGTCGAACGCACCTTTAATTGCACAGAAAAACGTGCTACAAATGCAAACGTGCTACAAAAACACGCATAAAAACGCGTATATAGCAAACGCCCAGGTGTGAACCCAGCCTTGGGTTTATCAAGCAGTTTATGAATAAGCAATGCATGTACAGTGACAATTTGGAGATCAAAAAAAGTGTTTTTTAGAATTGTAATGAAGCTGGTTTTGCTGGGACTTGTAGTTTCAACAAGAAAGCCACGGGTCACCCACGGGTGAAATCACACGAAACAACTTCGCATATTGATAATCAAGGAGGATTATAGCAAGCTCATCATTTATTTCTGCTTAGCGCAGCCTGAAACTATCTTATCCAAAGTGCTGCAGTAATCATATCTCCAGATAAAGAGGAACAACCAGGATGTGGCTTACAGGAAAGTACATGCCGCTGTCAGCTAAAAGGTCTTTCTAACTTTTAGGATGACCCTGCACAGACTGATCCATATAGGTTATAGAAAACAGAGTCTTACTGGTGATTGTAGATGGGTAGATATCGCTGGAGGTCCAAAGCCAGAGGGCAGCAGGGTTAGAGGGGGCAATGCCAAGCAGGCCCGGGTTTGCTCTCTCTGCTGCCCCAAGGCCAGGTTCTTCAATGCGCCAAGAGTTTTTGGGCACCTGGCCATCACACCTATATGAACTTGCCAATCCCCCTTCCCTCACCTTTGTGGCTGTATCAGCCTCCACTCCTCTAGGAAAGCTTTCCACAAGACTTTGGAGTGCGTCAGTGGGAATTTGTGTCCATTCAGAGAGAACTTGCAAGGTCAGCTACTGATGACCCCTTTAAGTTCCTCCACACCAAATTCATCAAACCATGTCTTTATGGAGCTGGCATTGTGTGCAGGGGCATAGTCATGCCAGAAGAGAAAAAGAGCCTTCCTCCAAACGGTTGTCATGAGGATGGAAGCACACAATTGTCTTTGTATGCTTTAGCATTCATTGATTCTCACTGTAAACACCTGGATTCAATAATTTGGAGGGGTGTCCACATACTACTGTCCATATGCATATCTTAGCCCTGGCATTCTTGGAACCCTCTGTGGTTCTGTCATGGAACAGAACAGATGAGCCTCCAGCTCCCTCATCAACTCCTCCCATGCTCGCCTCCAGAACTTCAATAGAGCCTCTCCCATCCTATGGAACTCTCTACCCCAACCTGTCCATCTATCTCCCACTCTGACTGCCTTTAGGCGATCCCTTAAGACTCATCTCTTCAAGGAAGCCTATCCCACCTCAACCTAACCACTCAACTATCACGTTCTCATACAATTCATCACCTCACCTCTACCTCCTCATGTATCACTTGCCCCTCCCTTTTAGATTGTAAGCTCTCAGGGGCAGGACCCTCCTTACCATCTTGTCTTGTATTGTAAGGTCTTCCTTATATTGTAAAGAGCTGCGCAGGCGCTATATAAATCCTGTATAATAATAATAATAATAATAAAACATTTCATCACAATAAATCATTTGCTTACCTTATTGAGATGGGGGTTTCTGGTAATGTCATAGCCTCTCTTTTTAATGTGCTGGGTTTTTTTGGAAAGCGGGTCAACGGATCCAGCGTGGCACACCCTTACCACATCCCAGTTGACTCTCTGAGGATTCCTGACCAGAGGGAGCCATGACCCCACCCTTGGTGCACAAGGAGCAGCTTTACTTCCCGTTGACAGTATACGTTTGACTATCAAGCTATTCATTTTCTATCTGTAAAATAAAAAATATAAAGAAAATCTGTTCAGCCAATGCGGAGATGTAAAAAAGAAAAAAAAAAAAGTGATTGCAAGGACAAACTTATCTTTTTGATCATGGCAACCATCTTAATTCTTACCATGGCCCTCCCATACTGCACCGGAAGCATGTTGCTTGCCACAGGCAACAAGTAGAGTTCTACCTAACCATTTACTTTTTTATACACATTAGATACTAACGTATAGGAAGTGAAAGGAAAGGGCACATTTTCAGCCTGATTTAGGAAACCAATGGCCACTAAAATCTGGTTGCTATTGGATTAAATAGCAACCAGATTACAACATTGTAAAACATTGTACCAAAACAACATTGTACCAGTTTTATAAATCAGATGAATGCAATATATAGATCAACTGCTACTGCATGTTGATAGGCCACAAAAATTAGAACCACCAAAGCCAGAAAGCACACTAATCTACAAAAAGTTATCCCTAGCCCTTGAACGTGCCACAGTATCCATCAGCACACATGAGCAAGCTGTAAAGCCACAGCCAGGCAGGAGTGAGACAGGGGCCCGGCGGTTGACCAGCTCCCTAACTCTTGAAAATGTCTTAGTATCTGGTTTGATCGAGGGAATCTTTAGCCTAAGCATTTGGCTTAATGCTAGCCATGCACATCTCAAATTTCATCGTGATAACTCGGCCAAAATTTGACAAGTGTCTGGCCCCATCAACAACCCTCAATTTTTTCATTGTCATTTGTCGAAGGAAAATTCTTGGCCCAACAGTGACTGCAGCCAGTCAGCTCTAATCAGTGTTCAGGTCTTCTGGCAGTGGCAAGTCATACAATAGCCTTGCAGGGAAGAGCCCTTGGGGCTGAAGGAGAAAAACGTATGGCCAGCTTAAGAAACAGCTGCCACTTGGTTAGGATAACTACTCCACTGGTAGTGTCCAATCTAGAACTGCAATCTGGCAGCCGGAACTTAATTCTGTCATATAAAAAATAAACACCCAAGTGAACAAAGCAACAAAAATTCTTACATCCCTCCCTATCCATCCCAACGACAGTCGCTCAGCATACAAACAATCAAGCTAGTATCTCCATAGGAAGAGAGCAACAAGCATGCAGGCCTTCTGAAAAGGGAAACACCAACCTTACAAGTGGACCATGGCATCATAATGCATGTTGAAAGGGACAGAGTGTTGTCACCTTATAACATGAAGTGCTTAAACAAGAACCTTCATGGCAGGATCACCGAGTATTATTTTAATGAAAGCTGCCTATTTATAAATAATAAAAATGACATCAACATACTAAAGCTTATATGAGATGATTGTGACTGGGGTTATTTGTACTTTAAGTTTATTTTTCTAAGGGGATCAGCTGCTATTTCTATGCAAACATATATACAAGCCGAATTCCTTTAACTGGCAATGCAAACTTGATCATTCCAGATCACGCAGGATAAGTCAACCGCGTCATACAAAAGATGTTTGTAATAATCAACATTGTAATAGAACAATGACCTTGGTGCATAGCTTACAAGGACGACGACTGAATCGACTGCTAAGGCTGTGCATGTAGCTGCAACTTATATCACACATTGCAAAGGAGGAGCAAAGAGGTTATTTGTTGAAGTCAATGGAGCTGGGGCCTAAAAAAAATCATGTGGGCTCCTGGATTGGACAGACTGGTTCCTAAAAAATCATGTTGGCTCCTGGATTGGACAGACTGGTTCCTAAAAAATCATGTTGGCTCCTGGATTGGACAGACTTGCTACTGAATTCAATATGCATTTGGGCACCCCCAATCTAATATATAAATCTAAGATGAACAGTACGTATCTATATGTTTCTATGATAAAGAGTTACTCACCGATACATTGGTATATGAGGAAATGCACAGATCCATAGGGATTGCAATACCAGCACAGCATAGGACTGCACTGAAATGCACTTTGACAAGTATGCCTAACCTGCGTCATAAGTGCAGGGCAGTTTCTATTCACAAGCATTGGCCAGCTGGTAAAAATTGTTGCATGACAGAACATAAACAACCTATATGGCTTCAAAGTGTGGCAACCATTCTTGTGTACATGGGTTTGTAGGAGAAGTTGGAGAGCCAAACATGGGAAACTCTCTGACCTAGGCGGTGACGGTGCGCTGTGATGGAAAATGTTTTTTAATATATTATATTAGAAGGCCACTTGTATGGTACGGTTAGTATTAAATATGCATAAGTCTTCTGTCCAAACTTTGCATAAATGTTTGAAGTCACCTGGAAGGTCTGAAATGCACAGAAGCCATCGCTTATAAATTTATCTTTCTAATGATATTTGTTCAGGCCTCGTCTGACTGACTCCAGCCAGCCCGGTATGTGTATTCACTGACCTCGGCATTCTTCCCTATAATACTGCAATGTAAAGTGTACTCAGATCACTTTATGGAACGCAATAGCACACACAAGGCGCTCGCATAGGTTTCTACAGCAACCAGAGACGCCTGCTCGGAGATCAACGCCCTCCGAATGTATACAGAGGTTTTTGTTTAATAAGCTGACCATAGGAAAAAATTGCATTCCATTTATAAAGAAAAAAATAAATGAAACAAAACAAAAAATAAAATCTGTCATCCGATGTGCTGGCTTGGCACCAATTGTTATGATCATAGAATTTGCCAGAAATTGCCCGGCAATGCCAGAATTTTGATCCAAGTTTCAGGTCATTACCGGAATCAGTTACATCTCAGGAATTTCTATTCTGGAGATATCAGTAACGCGCAGCATGCGTGACATCATTTCTCAGAACTGCGCACACTGCACTCTGCATTCACCTGGAATGAGGAGGTATGTTAAGCCCCTCACACTTTTAAAGCATTATGTGGATGCACCCAAAGCTCTGCCCATCACCCCACCCAGGCATACCAGTTTTTAAAAGTTTCCAGGTATGGTTATGCTTTCACTTGCACCTTTTGGTCAGAAGATAACCTCTTAGTAGGGACAAGTCAGTGGTGTTGATGCAGCTTACTGAGCCCCTCCTCCTAATCTTTGAAGCCCCTTGCAGACCTATGTGTTGCAGTAACATGCAGTTAAACGCCTGTGTTTCCACAACCTGCATCAACACACGGAAGTTTGTGCGTTGTGGTTCCGTTCATTCAGAATGGCACCCCAACGCACAACCACGGTAGCAAGCAATACACCTGTACTGCAGCTAAGCACAACGCACATCCTGCAAGTCATTGGTCATGCATGTTGTTGTGGGCCATTGAATGGGCTGCCCTGAAGCAACAGGCAAAAATACCGCCCCTCCTTCCACATCAGAACTCCCCCCTCTCATAGTAGATGCCCCTCTTCATGAGAACCCTCTCCTTTTACATCAAAGACCCTTTTCCTATCAGAGTCCCCCCCTTTCACATCAGAAACCTGCCTGCACCATGAAAGGGCATGACACTGTGTGAAAACGTTGAGACCCCAAGGAAGCCAGAAGGCACCCTGGGATGCCCTGCACCCTGGTTGAGAAAGGCTGGTCCATGACACCTACAATCTATCATGAATATTGCTACAAGCCTTATCTGCCCCCCTGACCACTCCATTCCGCCTGTCCTTGGCTTCAGATCAGGGGGAATAAAACTTAATTGACTATAATAAACTCTTACTACAAATTTTTTTAATATATATGTACATATATATATATATATATATATATATATATATATATCTTACACTGATGAAAGAAATAAAATGTGCATTTATGATTTTTTTCTTTTTTTGCATTGGAGCCTGCAGAGCATCGCTACAAATCAGTGAACCCTGCAGACTACACACCCACCCCCAGCCAAGGTCCATATGGAGGTGCGGATCTTTCATTGTCTGGAGGATGTAATCAATGGACTGCAAATGATGTGACATCATCATCACGCTTGTGATCCATTAAAAATTACGAGTCCCTCACGGAGGCAGATGGGGCTTGTAGTCTTCCTTTTAAAGTTCCCTGTGAATGGATAATGTAACTGTACGGGCTGAACTTTGTACAGGAGTTTAATGGTGGATGATTGGCGAATGTGACTATGTTTCATGTTAAGCCCTAAATATGGGTGTAACATCAAGATACAACGAGCAACATAAGTTTATTGAACTCTTCTATTAGTGGTTCTGTACATTAAAATATATCTAAACCCAGGGGGGTCCCCATAATGAGGCACCGTCTCATGGGCGGGGGGGCGGCAGCACAGGCAACTAACAGCACCCAAAGTCCCCTGGCAACAGCTTGGCCCAAACTACCCCCCTTCTCCACCTTTGACAGCTTGGGCGATTCTGGACTGCATTAACCCTCCTGCTCTGCTCTCCTTACCACCTCTGGTAGTGGTGAATAAAAAGGTAAGGACGGCCCAGTCTAAACCAAAGAACAAAAATGTCATATTGCAGCTTACCAGGCCTTAGATGTGGTGGCTGCATTAGTTTTCACCTGGCGATCCTGCCAGTGACACACTTCCTTCCTAGGGTGACAACACTCACTCTATGTACTGTATCTATGATTGTGTAGCGTTGTCATCCTAGGACAGGAAGTGTGTTAGAACTGCAGGTCCTTAACCCTTTGTTAGGACAGACAGTAATCAAATCTAGTTTACAACTGATAATGAGATCTGCCAGCGCAGTACAGACAGGGTTCATTATGGTAAACTTTAACACCACTCCTCCATCCTTAACATTTCATGGAGGGAAGCTAAGTAGGATTTTGATCCAAGTAAAAAGCATTCACAAATAGAAGCAGCAATTTTTTTTTTTTAATTATGCAATGTGATCGAAAACATGTGACAGATATAAAATAGGTCTTATCCCAATTCGCAGGGCCGGATTAAGAGCATCATGGGCCTGGTGCTGAGGATTTTGGTGGGCCTATTTATGGAAATGGCGACAGTCACCGGGGCCTTCTTCCTCCTGTCTGGGCTGTGATTTGTAGTCTCTTTTCAGCTCAAAGAGTCAGCGCTGGAGCGACAGGGCCCGGTTGCAGCTGCGACCCTGGTAGATCTGCCACTGACTCCAAGCTGTAAAGGGACTACAAATCCCAGCAATCCAATACATTATACAGCAATGCAGAATAATAACACTAAGTATAGAGGACTACAAATTCCAGCAATACATTATACAGCAATGCAGAATAACACTAAGTATAGAGGACTACAAATTCCAGTAATGCATTACAGAGCAATGCAGAATACCACCAACTATAGAGGACTACAAATCCCAGCAATACATTATACAGCAATGCAGAATAATACCATCAGCTATAGAGGACTACAAATTCCAGCAATACATTATACAGCACTGGAGAATACCATCAGCTATAGAGGACTACAAATCCCAGCAATACATCGTACAGCAATGAAGAACAATACTGCCAACTATAGAGGACTACAAATCACAGCAACACTTTATACAGCTATGCAGAATGTTATTAGCTATAGGAGGACTACAATTCCCAGCAATAGATTATACAGCAATGCAGAATAATATGAAGCTACATAATTTGTGTTGCTCCTGGTTCGCGGCGTGATGTCTCCAGGGTCTCAGGAGAGCTGTGTGGGGTTTAGGGGGGCTGTGCAGGCTCTCAGGAGGCTTTTGAGTTCTTAGGTGGCCAGTGCAGAGCCTATTTGCAGGGGCGGGCCTGGAGCGGGAGATCCACCAGCCCCTATGTTAATCCGGCCCTGCCAATGGCTGCAGTAGTGGACATACACTTTAAATTGTTACACATAAAACAATTTTTTGACCCAGATGTTGCTCAGCTGATGTTAGTAGCATGTTACAGCTGCCTCATTTTAGCCCTTGTGTGTGAGCAATTTTCCAAAAAGTTTACTGAGACCAAATAAAAAAAAAAAAGTAAAATGAGAAGGGCTTATACAGATATACCAAATTAAAACTTCCACGGCAAATAGCCCTTTTCACGCCAATGCTGTCTATTTATGTATCCATTTTGTTTTTATATAATGACAAAATACAGTGCTGCATATTATATAAAATATATAAGA